CTAGCAGATCCTGACAAAGCTGACCACAGACAGTGGCTCAAAAATGGTGCTGCACGTTAGTCACTGGGAAGCTTTTAAAAATCCTGATGTCCAGGTAGCAGTGTCTGGGGGAGGGAGCCAGGCATCTGATTTTTCAAAGATCATATGTGGAAGAGCACAGATGGGCTCATTGGAGAGGCTCACTCCCAAGTCCACTTGGATTCTTCACAATAGGAAATTTCCCTCTTCTAGAATTTTACCATTAGGGAACATTAGAGAAAGATTAATTCACCCAAGGTCACACTGCTAGTAAAAGAAGTTAGGATTCTAACCCAGGTCTTCTGACTCCAGTATCCTCACACAGAGTTTTTATGGTGATTTAAAAGGATAGAGTTTTAAATACTTAAATACTTAAGTGCATGGACCACGTGTCCATATAAACTGATTTTATCCTCGCAAAATATGTTAGAAAACGGATACACTATATCAGACCAAGAATTGACCAAGATATTTTGGTTGAAAAATTAATTTTTCTGCATTTTAAAATGCCAAAAATACTCAAAGAAGATGAATCCAAGTCTGGTAGGCATAAAATGAGAAAATTATTGTACTATAAAAAAACCAGTGAACTGAATACCAAGACAATTATATATTAAGTAGGGTACTGGTTATTAAGCATATAATATTTTTTAGGAAATTCAGAATTTGATATATTTGAATTGCTATATTTCATAATTCAAACAACTCTTACTTAATGCCATTATATTAGAGTAACATTTTGAGATAAGATATAATACAAGCTATATCTTTGATATGATTCCAACTAATTTTTTTTAAAGCATGGGGAAAACACCAAAAAAGAATTATGCCAAATGTTAATAGTTATGGGTAGGATTATGAGTGATATTTTTTCTATATTTTCAAATTTGTCTACAATGAATATATATTACTTTTTTATCAAGACTAGACTTCTCAAGTAAGTTGGTCAGATAGGTGTAATTATGACTTTACACATCTCCAAGATTATTTAAGTTTCTTAGAACTTTTTGTGTTTGTTTCCTTAAAGAGCAGGATGAGAGTCCAGGTTTCTTAAACCTGTATACCACCACATCGACACCGTCATTTTAAGAGATGTGTAGTAGACTCCATAGTATAAACACGAGCCATTTAAACACTAGATGTCTAATTTCAGATATCTCAAATTTGAAAGTGGGTTTCTTTAAGCTAAAATGGCCTTATGCTGATTGTTCTGTCCTACTTAATACCTATTTATGTTTTCATTTTTTGCAAGTATAGTGCTTCAAATAAAAGGTTCAGCTATACTATATATTGCAAGCAGTATTTCAAGTAAGTGCTTCAATTATATTAGTAAGTACCTCTGCATTAAACCATTGAAAATCAAAAGGTTTAGTGTTTTTGGCTGGATTTGTATGTTTGCATTACATCTCTATTCTAAGACAACTTTTATCCTGAATACTGGACCAAGATTCAGGAGACGAAGGACCTTAGACCATATTCTAATTACTGTTCTGTTCATGAGTCATTTGACCTCTCTAAGTTTCAATTCCTTCACTTGAAAATGGAGTTAGCAGACACTGGCCTACCTTGAGTGTGAGGATTAAACGGAACTACTTGTGAAAATGTCTATTAATTATAAATAACCATAAATATAAGGTAGCATTAGAACTATTCTGAGTTTTAAATTTTAAAATTATGTTAATTCTGCTTACTTTATGTATTTATCATATATCTTATCTTTTCATTATGCATACATATAATTTTTCACTGGTCTCTTTATAATCCTTAAAGTTGTACCCAACTTTAAGCAGGTACAAAATAGATGTGTTCTAAAAGATTGTAAAGTCAAATTTTCATAAGCCATACTTAAATTATTAGAAGAATATTTTTTCTAAAGGACAGCTAATTCTTTTATAAATTGTAGAATATATTCTTTTAGAAATATTGATTCCTCTCTACTTGGCAGACTTAAAGAGGGTATATTTTAATCATGGCATTTTTAACTTTTGCATTGTAGTTGTTCATGTTTTAGCATTTAGGAAGGTGCTACTTCTACATATCTACATATAATTAGGCAAGTAAACATATTTTGCCTCAACAATGGGTTTTATTATATTTTTGCATTTCCAAAGGTCCATGATATGAAAAAGACCCGAATGATCTTACAAATACATACAATATTATTTTGCCTTTACTTTTACTACTCTTTTACTATATATTTTACTTTTTTTTTTAATAATCACAGGTTTAATTTACTATAAAATAGAAAAAAAACACAGCTATCTTAGATACAGGCTTATTTTAAGTCAGGGAATACAAAAGCCCATGACACAAGGCAGGCAACCAAAATGTGTAGTTTCCTTCACACACACACACACACACACACATTAGTTCGTCCGTTCACTTCTCTTGTGTTTCTTTCTGTCTCATACATAGACTAGAGAACTATTGTTGTTTACAGAGACCAACAGAAGTTAAATATCTAATCCTAAATAACCAAATCAATTGGGAAAGGCTAAACTACAAATCAGGCAAGACTTGGCCAAATCTAAAGAAAGTGTCAGCATTGACAAGCAGCACTAAATAAATGTCTTACGTTCAGATGGTGCCAGTTGCCTCTGAATTGCTTCCCCTAACAGTTCCTTAAGTTTCTTCTTAAGATCTCTGCTTGTTTTCTTATAGAAATAAAGATCTTTTTCCAGCTGTTGGATTTTATCTTCATATGTTTTTAAAGTTTCCACAATGACTTCCCCATCTTGCTCTATAAAACAGAAGTTTACATTTAAAATCAGTTTTAAAAAATGATTGAAAATTATGTTCTAACATGGCCCTAGGCTATATTTAAAGGGTCAGAAGTATGTTACATGTATCTGTTACCTGAATGGATTTGTTTTCAGCTACAATTTGGATTGGATTCTTCTGCCTGTAAAATTTTTCAAAGTTGACTGATCCTTTAAGTCATTTTCTCCACCCTATCCTCTACCAACTACCACATCTTTATGATCCATAAAGATGATACATAAGCACTTTCTGAGTAGCTACTAACGAGATTTATCCTTAGAACATCAGAAATAAGATGTTTTCTATAAAAAGTTCACGTTTGGAACTCTGTCCATCAGCTACATCAATATCTTACTTCAAGTTTATATAAGGAACAGTGGATTATGAAAAGTCAAAAGCCTAAAATTTATAGGCCCAAGAAATATATGTATAACCAAAAATAAAAAACTCACAAAAACCCCAAAAATCTGTCAAAAGAGGCTAGAAAGATTAAGTTACAAAGGAAAACACCATAAAAAAAGGAGGAAAGGAGAAATAGCATAAGTAAAGTTTTAATTTATGCTACAATATAACTTAAAGCTTCTAAGTAATATTTTGAATGTCTGAAACTGTCCCCATTGGGTTATGTTCGAGAACCGGCAAAACCCAGTAACCTTCAGAAAATACATATTTTCAGACCTACTCTTTCGTATTGGTAAATTTATAAAATGGTCCTACTGGTTTGTAACTTTTGTTATTAATTGGCTGTTTTTTAAAAATTTGATCTAAGTATATTTGTATATTTAAAATGAATCCATCATCTTGTTTAAAAAATACTTCAAATTAAATAACATCATAAGCCAGAATCCCCATAAAGAATATCAAATAAATCAATTTAATTTTATGTCTCATATTCAGTTGGAATTAGAAAATTCATAAATTGTTAACATTTTTAGTTACAACTCTGTTATGAAAAACTTATCCCAGGCTTTAGAAATGAATGATTTTTTTAAAAGTTCTCATTTTAAAAGTTCTCATTTGGCTATAGCATGAGCTTTTCTGGTACAGTGCCAGTCACTTGAAAACACATTAAAAATTCTATTAAAATGTCACTTTTAGAGGCTTAAGACAAAACTAAAATAAGATAAGCAGAGCACATTTGAATGAAATGATGTATGGGATCCTGTAAAAAAATCCTGTCATCAGGCAACTGGATGCTAATTAACTGGTTATAGAATTAACTTAGAGGCAAATTGCCTCAACACTCAAATTCATACATTTTCCAATTTTTGCTTTCTCAGGTTGCTTCTTCCAGATCCCTTTTAATTCATTTCCAGCTACAGATTCACAAGAATCGAGACTAAGCAGCTAAGCAGCCTGGACTGCAGCATTACCAGTATCGCCTGGCAATGATTTTGTTGCCATAGGAACTGTTTGTGTACCAGCCATATGCCCAGGTAATAAATGAGAGGACCAGCTGCTATGACAGCCCTTGCCACACTAGAGTTGATGGTTGAACTGCTGTGCACTGATAACAGTATGTGCCCATTAGAGGTAGACTAATTTTGACCTAAGATATAATCTTAGCGCATAAACGTTACAAGCAACTGAAAAAATTATAACAAGAAAACTAGAAATCTGACAGAACCTATCACTTTAATTTTATAAAGAGAAGTAATTTAAATATTAAGGTACTATATCCTTGAGAGAGAGGAATTTTTCAAGTGTACGCCATAAAGCCAGAAGTCATCCCACATCTCTACATAAATACTACACTAACAACAAACTAGTGGAATTGCAGTGGTTCTTTTGTGTGGCCGGGGAGACAAGCAGAAGGAATGGCATTTCAAGCATGACTAGCCCTACATCCAAGTCAACTATCCCAACATGTGGTAACCAAAACATGTAAAGCACAAAAACACATATAAGTAGTTACTGTTTATACATGGTGGGCTTTTAAGTGATCAAATTCTGTCCTATCTTCCTTCCCAAATCCCCCTCCTACACATCACATATACAGAATTAACAACTGGACAGGTACCTTGGAAATGATGTAACAGCAACTGCATTTTTTGCTCATGTTCCTTTTGCTGGAGGGTCAGTCTCCGGTCACACTGCAATTTCAGATGTTCCAGTGCAGATTCCAACTCACGAACCATATTATCCCTTTCCAGAACCTTCATTTTAATTTCTTTATTCTCTAACTGTAGTTTCCGTTCAGCTTCTCGCAAATTAACCACCTGGCAAATACATTTTTTTACGCTGTAAGTGTATTTTAGATAGCCTGATATAGATTAATCTACTTCTATTGGGCTATACATAAGATGAACTTCCTTAATCACCATGGTATAACTAGGCAAATGCTTTGTAACACACCTACAAAATAACCTAACAGCCTTTTGGATTTGCTGGGGTTCTGAATTGGTAATGATTTCATTTTAAATATAATGTTGCTTACTAATCACCTCTCCATCATTTCTTAGATATAGTCTCGTAGTTTACATTTATAATCCTACAACTCTATTTCTCTAGCCTAAGAAGATATTGAGAAGCTAAAGAATCTGTAACATCTAGATAATTCCCAGTGTTGAGTTCAAAATGGATGTTATAAGTAAGTGACAAAAATTTTAAAACTATAAATACAGAGTTTGGTTTTATATCATATATTTTAGTCCATTCGGTTCTTCTCTGCACTGATAATAAGTAAAACTACTTCAGACAATGTTTGTGTCACAGAGCTTGTTAATAATGTAATGACCTTTTTAGAAAAATACTCATTTCTACAAATGGTTCTCAGAATCAAAAAATCCACTGACCTTGGCCTGGGTGCTTTGGGTTAAGAACCCTTGATCTAAGAACACCTCAAGAAAGTTATTTATACCAAAGCCTTGGACAGTACTCCACCGTTTTTCTGCCCTCCACACACCCAGTGATAGGATGCATCCTCACCAGTAACAGTAGCTTACTACCAACAGTAATTAACCAATTACAACAACAAATGTTGTGCATAACATTTCCATTAATTTTTCATGTTTACTTCACTTATCTAAGAATTAGAACTTTATTTTAAAACTTCAGTGTTTTCTTTTTCATTGTTTGATATTCCCTTAAACTGCATATACTCACTCTTCAGAGAAAAAAGTTATCTACTTGTTTAACACCTCATAATATATATCTTAAGAGAACACATTAGAGAAAAGATGGATATAGTTCTATGAAACATCTCTGGGTCAGTAAATTGTCAAATACATAACAAATAAAATATTTTAATTACTATTAAGCACATTCAGGTTAATGCTAACATCTATTACTATCTTTGCCACTGATGCACTACTTCACATCAACTCACAGGGTATGATGAGAAAGTATGCATACTGCTACCTTATAGCAATGAAGGAAAGGAACCTAAACTTGGAGGGCCCTTGATTTTTCATGAATGCTGAGTAGCAGCATCCAAATCTAGGAAACATTCAAGAAGTAGTGACTGAGGAATACAGATTAAATTCTTTGATTTTAAAACTATTTCAAAAGTTCTTCTCTCAAAAGGCCCTTCAACTTTAAGAACCACACAAAGTAAGCACGAAGCTTTCAGAGAACAGCCTTCACTACTGTAAAGAGAAATCATGCTTAAATCGGGAATTATACCATTAAATCTTTAAGCCTTTCAATTTCCTTAAAAATGCTAAATGAATGAGCTATATAAGCATCTTGGCTTATCTTTATAAGAAAATCATCTCTCCCTCAAAAACTAACCTTATTGAAATATTTGAAAAAAATAGCTCTAATCTCAGTAGGATTCAGGCCCATTAGTTTTTCCAAGACATTTGCTTCACTATGAGAGACGTTTTGGAATGAAGCTCTGAGTGAGTTCTGGCGACTCTTGATACTTTCATTCTTGTATTCAATTGCAGCTTCCAAAGCCTCAATCCCTTCTTCAAGTTGGAAAAGAACATGTTCTTCCTAGATATGATACAACAGATATCACTTACTTTAAATGAAATAGTATAACTTGGACTTTGTCATATACTGAGGCCTCACTATACTACAGTAAGTCCTTAACATCGTCAGTAGGTTCTTGGAAACCAACTTTAAGAGAAACAACTCATAAGGAAACCAGTTTTACCCCAGGCTAATTGATATAAACAAGAGTTAAGTTCCCATAGCACTTTTCTGGTCACAGAAGCATCACCAAACTTCTAAATAAAGATCCAAAACAATTCAAATATTAAACGATGAAATAAATATGAGCTATACATACATGTAAGAAAGATGAATAAAAACAAGTAAAATCATTCTTTTTTCAACCTGCTGATTCCAGTTCAGGGTCATGGGTGACCGGAGCCTCTCCCAGCAGCTCAGGGTGCAAGGTGGGAACCCACCCTGGACAGGCTGCCTTTCCATCTCTGGGCCACTCATACACATACCCAGACTGGAACAATTTAGACATGCCTGTTCGCCTCACATGCACATCTTTGGGATGTCAGAGGAAACCGGAGTCCCCAGAGAAAACCTATACAAACATGAGGACGTACAAATCCACACAATGGCCCTGGCCTGGAATCAATTTTTTTTCCTCAACAACATTATAACAAAATGACATTGAATGAAATGACATTATTCAAGGACCTGCTGTGTTTGAGCCTAATGGATATTATCTTTCTTCTACTAAATTTTAAGAAACTAATGTTTATTGAGCACTTGCTATGCTATACAGTACACTGTATACACATATATAATATATAATCATTGAATCCTTGCAATAAACCTTATGAAGTAAAATGGAAGAGGCAGAAGCTTAGGTGAGTTATGAAACATCCCAAAGTCTCACCACAAAGGCTAATCACCCAGGAATACACTCAAAGCCTCAGCCCACAGGATTAGTAATATTGTCATTTATCTCCCTCCATAGCTCCTAACGTGCTTATTGTGTGTCAGTGAGATCTATGGGCCCCCTAAAGTCCTTTCAAGGATCTAGTAAAACAATATGCTGTTAGGAGGGAAGGAAGAAAGAGATTTAGAGTAAGTTATTAAGAACTGGTTATCAGAGAAGAATCTCTAGGGAAAAAATACAGTATGGCAAGTGGTGTGGCTTTAACGACATGAAACATTTCATAAGATTTCTATGAGATGTCATTAGAGGGGAAATACAGGCATTAACAATAGTGGCGGCATAACATTTTTTTTCATAAGCTGAAGAAAATTTTCTTTGTAGGAAACAAAATCTGATAAATCCCTGTCAGAAAACCTTGCAGTTCTTTGAATTACCCAAATAGCATGTTATTGGAGGCAAGGGGGTGGGGGGGGAATGCAAATCTCTGGCAGGAAATTATGTTGAACTTGCTGAGATTTGGATATATATATATCCAAAAAGAAAGAGGACTTCCAGAACTGCTTCAGAAAGTGGCACGAATGATAGGATACATGTGTTCCAAGTGAGGGGGAGTACTTTGAGGGGGCCTATTGGCAATGTGTCTTTAACTGTAGTAAATTTTTTTTAAACATTTGCCATATTGTTTGATCACACCTCATATATCTGCAGACCTATGCATGTGGTGGAAGTCACGTCAACCTCAAATTCCTTCAAGTCAGAGTGTCTTGTCTATACTCATGTCCTTAACCACACAGTTAAACTCAGTAAGTACTGAATGAGTTAATGAAGAAGAGAAAAAACTGGGCCAGCCCGAGTGGCTCAGTTGGTTAAGAGCTCGCTCAAGAGTGTGCGCTCTGAGCAAGTAGCAGTTCGATTCCTAGCCTGAGCTGAACTGCCAACAGGTGGCAGGATGACTCAGCTAAAAAAAAAAAATGGTTTTCTCTCTTCTCCTTTTTTTTTTAGCTAAGCCATCCTGCCACCTGTTGGCAGCTCAGCGGCAGCTCAGCTTGGGCCTGGAATCGAACTGCTAGTTGCTCAGAGCTCACACTCTTGAGCGAGCTCTTAACCAACTGAGCCACTCGGCCGGCCCTAGAAAAACCCACTTTCATTATGTATTGGTTATGTGACCCAAGTATTTCTCTCCACTCCTCTCCCCAGCATTTTAGTATTTCTGTTTTACCTAAAGAATAGAGTGACTTCCAGAACTCCTTTTCTGGAATTCAGGGAAATTGTATGTAATAACCTATTCCAGTGGGAAGTCGAATAATACTTATTTTTAAAAGCCATTTTATAAAATCTCCTGAAAGAGCCATTTTATAAAAAATGTTCTACAGCCATTTTATTTCTCTGTGCAATCACTAACCATCAGGAATTTGACGATTTGATAATCACTCCATAAGAAAGAAAATAATATTCACCTTTTCAAATCCTGAAAGGTACTTAGGTGAATGAATGAGGAACCAGAAAATAAATGTAAATTATCCAAAGAACATATTTTACTTTGAATGTATATTGTGATTATGTTTTACCAAAAACAAATATGGAGTTTGCTTTTATATATGGCTGAGAACAATTCGATACAAATTTAGTTCCTATAGTTTTGGATGTAAGTTAAAGAAGCACCAGGATAATATAAGATAGTGTGACTACAGAACCCTGAGACTAGCCTGCTTCAGTGAGGCTGCAGCATATAAATATTTGTGAGTCCCTCGAACCCAGCAATAGGTATAAGTTGACAGGATGAGTGACAATGGGAAACTGTCCCGGAATGAAAATTTGCCACAACTCAAACCATAGATTATTAAGAACTGATTATGCTTTATCATAGAGCACTGTTTGTTAAACTTTATTGTGCACCAAGGAGCTTGTTAAAATGCAGATTTCTAATTCAGCAGGTCTGGGTGGGGCCTGAGGCTCTGCATTCTAGGTGATCCTGTTGCTGCTGGTCCAGAGAGAATAAAAAGGACCTAAAGCAGTGGTGTCCAAACATTTTAGATCACATATCCCTATCAGTAAAACAAAACAAACTAACAACATTTTTTGAGCAAGCCCCACATATATGTGTATTTCTCAATAAGTCACATGCAACTTCTAGTCCTAAAACATGAAAGTGAAAGTTAAAAGATGAAATAAATATAAACACAATAGTTCTTATATTTTCTTCTATACTTCACTTACTAGGTAGGAACTGCTCTGCATAATTAGAAAAATAGAATTAATTTTTTTTAAATCTTAGTTTCTGGATTAAAAAAAACAAAAAGAAAACAAAAAAAAGACGTGATTACTTATATTAAATTGTTGGGTAATCCTGTACTGGTATATTAATCTAAAACCTATCACTTCCCATGAAGTAATACAATTAGGAAAACAGTTTAATTTATTGTGGGAAAAGAAAATAATACTTCTAAGCAAGTTTAAAGACATCAAAACAGCCAACCATTCCAGATGTCTTGTGTCACATCGGCATCTCATATTCCTGATCATCTGCTGCTGGCAGATCGATTTGATAATATTAATCTTGGCGTGAAAACAGTGGGGAGATGAGAGCTCACTTCAGAGCTACATTAAGAAGAACCAACCATGTGGAAGAAGTATCCATAGAAGCTCACATGATGCAGTGGAACCCCACCAACTGCAGCCTTATCACTCGTGCACACCAATCCTGAGTGGAGGTGGCACACACCGTGCCCCATTTTCACCACAAAACCCTACATGTTTTTAGTTACAGAATTCCATGTGAAATAATAATTAAATGTTTCTTGATGATAATAATGGATCCTTTACCCTTCTGCAAACATCATTTGCTCATTCCCATCTCAATGCCTTATTTAATGGTGTTTTATCTAAAATGGCCTTCTTAGATCAACCAATATATAAGTATCATGTTTTTCATAATCCAGCTCAAGATTCCAATCCATCAAGGCTGCCTTAATAATCTTGCCCCAATGATCATTGCATTGCTTTGTATAAATAGTGTAATAAGCATAGGTTCCTTATATTATCTATAACTTGCTTTTTTATGTTCCTCAGCTTTAGAATTTTCTCATTCTTCTGTCCCTTTTCTCCAGATAGAGTATGAATTTCTCAAGAGAAGCATAATGCTTTTTACTTTTTTTGTTTCTTCCATAGGGCCCAATAACAGTTCTGGGTAGGCAAGAATTCCTTAAATACTTGTATGTTTTGCTGTATCTTAGGCTCTCACTCTTCAAATTTACAAGCTTGTGGCTCCAATATAAATAGTCTCAAGACAGCCTGATTCTGTGATCCTCTGCACAGCTACCTAAATTAAGTTATGCAAAAGAACAGTAGATGCTTATAATGCCATATAGCCCCCAATCAACTTAGTCTTCAATTCTTTTCATCAACTCAATGATCAGTAATCTAATATCATGAAATCCTTTCTCCTGTTCCCTCTTAACCAGCCCCCTTAACTTCCTCTCATACGTGCACCAGTGTAAAACACTACAAGATTCAGCAAGGAGCATTAATCCCCAGCTACTCACTTTCTCTTAGTAATTTTCTCTTGCTTTGGTAATGACAGGACATCAACAACAAATATTCACAGAGAAAATTCAGGCTCAAAAATTCATCTTTGTCTGATAAAGTAAGGTACCATTGCCAACTGAGGTAAAATTCTGAAAAAAGACAAAGTCTGGGACAATTTGATAGCCAATAAATGAAATATCTTTTACATAGCTTACAAAAATAAAGGCGAGAGGAGCTATATACTCCTTTAAGTGAAAACTCTAAAGATATTTTTATTGGAATTTGGATTTGATGCACCTACTTGGATAGGACTCTGTGGAATATGCCACTGAACATTGGGCCTTTCTAAGCCAAGGTAACACAAAAGAATTAACCTTAATGCCCCTGGCGTCCATTGTATGTAATGAGTCACCTAGTATCATTCAAGAAAGATGCACACAGAGAAGGGGTCCTCTTTAGAAGAAATGAGAAAAAGCATCCCTCAAGTAATTTTCTGTGTGCTGTGAGGTCAGTGGAGAGACCCTGCTAAGAAAGGCCAGACTCAAGGAAAGTGTTAGTCTCCCAATCCCTGGCAATGCCACGAAAGGGCCACGGCCATGCATCTCTCTACATGAGGTCACTGCAGTCTCTAGTCAAGCATGGCTTATGGTGCCAGGTAAACTCATTATATCTGACAAAGTTTCAAGGAAACAAAGTTCACCAGATTCATCATTTTTATGTTTAAGTGACAAAGACAGAGGAAATCATCCAAGTGATCCATCATACAGTACTTCCAATTCCAAAGAATACTGACTTACTTCAGGTGATAACACGCTACCATTTTTAAGTTTCTCATCCACACTGTTTCTTTGTCTCTGTAGCTGATCTTTTTCTTTCTGGAGGGCTTGAACTTGTTCTGAAATCTTTATTTTCTCCTCCGCTGTGCTGCTCTGGAGCTGCACATTCTTTTCAGATAACTCTTGGTCCAATAAGTTCAAGCGAGTTGATATTTTCAAACTATCTGTGTTTAAGGCCTAAAAAGACACAATCAACCAGACACCCCCCAAAAAAGTTACTAGAAATGCAAACTATATATAAATTAGGAAAAACATAGAGAAAATTACCAAATGAATATATTTTTAGCTTCTACATTATTGTTTTCTCCCAGATTTTTCTTTTTTTTGACAGGGGAGGGGGACTTCATTTTCTGAAATCTTAAGTTGAATGTTTTTTTTTTTAAATGGAAATTCAAATAATGAATTTATTACCAAGTATTGCTTGACCATATCTGACTACACCACATGGGTTTTGAGAGGTAGTATTTTTCTTTTTTATAATTTTCTCAGTTGAACTTTTCTTCTTTGACCTGGTTATATAGAATTAATTATGTTATAATTTCCTAGAGGTAAACATTTGGTTTATTGTTGTTTAAACATACAATTTGTTTGTACTCATTTCATTTTGGTAAGGAAATATGGCCAAGTCGATTTATGGAGATCTTCACTATGGATTAATTTAGTTTTTAATTTTTTATTAAAGTAATATATATATATATATATATATACATATATATATATATGTATATATATATGCTATCATAAGGTTTATAATTTTTTAAAAAGCTTTCCCCTACCCCACCCTTGCACCTGAGTCTTATTCCCCAGAAACAACGATCTTTAGATCTGGTATTAATGTCCATGTTTCTAAATAACATTATCAATTTTAGATATTGTCTACTGACTGTCTATTATGGAAGATAAGGATTTAGCACTCTTATGCTTTCACTTTCCTACTTTTCCTCCCTCCATTCTCCCAATATGTATTAGTTTTTCATTATATCAATATTCAGTTTCCATGACCTTGTATTATTCATGTCTGAACCATCTAGTATAAAATTATCATACCTCCATTTGATACAACTTTTTTTGTACCTTATAACTAATTCTCCTCCAATAGAACTATAAAAATTCTTCTCAACACTATTTTTTTCATTTGACCAAACTTTAATCAGGAAATATTTTCATTATATTCTTTTCTGGAAACATTTTGCCTGGAACCTCCATATTCCTGCTCCATACTGGACAAGTTTTTCTGGGACTTCCCTTTGGTATTGTCCTGGGAATTTCCATGTTGGATCACATTTTCAGGATCCTGAGTCTTGCTTTTTCACAGTTTATACCCTCTTTTTTGTGGAGTACATCCTCTAGTAGTTTCCTGAGACAGGCCAAGTGGAAGATAATTCTTTCACCTGAAAATGTCCTTATTTTACTTTCACATACATTAGGTGGTCTTTTGTGATTGGCTTCTATCACTAAACATAATGTTTTCGGGGTTTATCCAGGTTGTAGCATATATCACTACTTCATTCCTTTCTATTGCTGAATAATATTCCATTGTATGGATAAACCACATTTTGTTTATCCTTTCATCAGTTGATGGACATTTGGGTTGTTTTCAGTTTTTGGCTATTATGAATAATGCTGTTATGAACATTTATGTACAAGTTTTTGTATGGACATGTTTTCACTTCTCTCCAATATATACCTATGAATAGAATTGCTGGGTCATGTGGTAATTCTATGTTTAATCTTTTGAGGAACTGCAAGATAGTTACCCAAAGCAACTGAGCCATTTTACAATCTTGCCAGCAGGGTATGAAAGTTCCAATTCCTTCATATCTTCACCAACACTTATTATCTATTTTTTTGAGTACAGCCATCCTAGTGGGTGTGAAGCAGCAGCTCGTTGAAGTTTTTATTTTAATTTCCCTGATGGCTAAGAATGTTTAGCATCGTTTCATGTGCTTATTGGTCATCTGTATATCTTCTTTGGAGAAATGTCTATTAGATATTTTGCCCATTTTTTAATTGGATTTTCTTTTCATTATTAAGTTATAAGAGTTCTTTCTGTATTCTAGATACAACTCCTTTATCAGACATATGATTTGCAAATATTTTCCCCCATTCTGTGAGTTGTCTTTTCACTTTCTTAATGGTGTCCTTTGCATCACAAATGTTTTTAACTTTGATGAAGCCCAACTTATCTAATGTTTCTTTTGGTGTTGTTCTGCTTTAGGCATAATATCCAAGAAACTACTGCTTAACCCTAGGTCACGAAGATTTATGTCTATGTTTTCTTTAAGAGTTTTATAATTTTAGCGCTTACATTTAGGTCTTGGACTCATTTTGAGTTACATTCGTATATGTTACGAATACAGATTTTTTTAAAAACATCATGTTCCTTGTCTGAAATGCATATGATCAAGTGTTATATGTATTTCTTAAACACTGCAAAAAGATAAAATCTTTTCATGCTTTTTGTTCAGAAAGGAATCCAGCAGTGTAACAGTCTCAAGTTTTTCTTCTGTTTCACTAAAACAATCTTCAAAGAATGAATTTTGCTTTGACCTACCGTGGGTTTCATTTATTTGCACTCTCTACTTATCTCAGTATGTTCTTGCTCCCAAATAATACATCTCATTGAAACCAGAAAACTACTGTTTTCATTTTCTTTTTCTATATCATGAAGTAAACTTATTTCAGGAAAAAAAATTTCCTCCCCATTCCTTTGATAGGTTCCTCTTTGTTCTCTTCTTAGTGATATAGAACATACCATAAAGGCCCCAGGTTACTTTCTTCTATTTACTCACTTGATATTTTAATTTGTTAATCTCCTTTGCTGTCGTTTACATGTTTTGAGGGGCTACTTGACCCTGACAGCCAATGTGAGCAAGCTACCTGGATACAGCACCAGTAATTAGGTTGGTTGGCGGGGTGGCCCTACCTGTGTACAGTAGCCAGGTGCTAATAGCTATTTCAACATGTTTAGGGAATAGAGGACAGAGCAGAGGTAAGTACAGGTCCCCATCTGTCCACCTGTTACACTGAGGTGGAGAGGTTAAGAGCATACCACTGTCAACTCAGATACTACTGATCTAGATTTTGGCTGAAAGGCAGAGCTCTGTTCCATGACTCAGTGCACATACATAGACTGACCTTGGTGGTCTCAAGGCCTACTGGAGGCAAAGTTTTGGGTGGAACATCCTTTTCAAGTTTGGGGCAAGCCAGCTTCATTTTTAGATGCTGCTGCTGTTATTGTTGAAAATATATATAGATATATCAAAAAAGTGTATCTCCTAGTCCCTCTAGTCCCTTCACAATCATTCTTTTTTCCAAACTTGAAATTGAGACAAACTCCTTCATAAAACCACTTCTTGGACTGGCTCATAAAATCCAAGTCCTCCAACAAAAATTTTTGTAAAGGTCCCCAAGTCGTTATAATTTGAAAAACAAGTTTTTATCACACCAAATCTTTTTTCTTTTATAGGAATCCTGCAAACTTTTACTAGTGATAGCTAGATCATCTTCAAGTATGTTTTTCCAAATTAACCAATGTTCACTACAACACCAAATAGTACAATTTATTTTGACAATATCTACGAAAGTTAATAATAGAAGTTGTCAGGGTGATAGGGAGTTACTGCTTAATGGTTATAGAGTTTCAGTTTGGGGTAATAAAGTTTTGGAAATAGATAGTGGTGATGGTTGTACAACATTGTGAATGTAATGCCACTAATTTGTACACTTAAAAATGATCAAAATGGTAAATTTTTATGTTATGTATGTTTTTACCACAACTTAAAAGATACCAAAAAAGTTAATAATAAATACTCGTAAATCGTACTTAGCAGAACAGTGAACATTTTACTTCAAAATTGCAATAGATTTTAGTGTTGGCCATTAGATAAGCAGTAATAAGCAGAATACACTGAAAACCAGAAGAGTTTTCTTTTGATTTCTGTCTTCACGATGGTTTACTTCTTAGAGAAAAAATTCTAGTTTATATGACTTACAACCAGAATGAAACAGTGTATTAAATAGAATACCTGACTAGATCTCAACTTCTTATTTTCCAGGTGACTCTTCTCCTGTAACAGGGCCCCCTTCTTAGAAACTATGGCTTCCCGTTTCTTCAAGTCTTCTTCCAGCTCCTCTAATTCTTGGCGTTGGTTCAGAACTTTCTCTACTTCTTCATCTAACCATTTATTTTGCTCATCCAATTTCTACATGAAAATTCCAAAGAAATGTTATTTGGTTTTTTTCTGCCATAAAATTTATATTGTAATAATATCATTTCAGATTGGCTGAAACACCTTAAATGAACATTTTAAAACTACCATTGAGAATAGCAAAATACTGTTCCTGTCTGAAACTGTCAAGAAGTATGTGGTTCCAGTTAACATCTAGCTGTATTGTTTTATAAGGAATTAAATTTTACTCCCCAAATATGTTCAAGTCTGGGATTTTTTAGGTTGACCAAAAAAGGGCTGACAATTTTCTTTACCTGTATTAGGAGTTAGTTCTTAGAACACACTGGGAATCCTTTTCTCTGCCGTATAGGTGCATACGCCCATCATAGCACTCACACTGCTGGTTTCTCTACAATCTGGCTCCCCAACTTAAGCTCCTTGATTGAATGTGGAACTGTACTTCTCACCTTTCTATCCCCAGGGCCTAGTGTACCGCCCGTCCCATGACTGGCCTTGAATACAATGTTAAATGAATGAGTGAATAAACGCCTGATTCAATCAGTTAATCAATGAAGTGGATAAATGAATACACACAGTAGAAGACATAAATGATGGAGCATGGAAATCCACTCTGCACTGTAGCCTGTCAACATCAAATAATTACAAAACAAATTAGAGTCAGAAAGAGTTCCAAAACAAGCATCTTAGTGCTCTCTTGAATTAAGGATACCCAGAAACAGGTATAAACAAAAATATGAATGGAGGGGCCAGCCGAGTGGCGCGTTGGTTAAAAGCTGACTTGGGACGCCAGAGGGCCCCGGTTCGGATCCCACATATGAGGGCCAGTGACACTGCCCTCTACAGCTAAGATGCTG